CTCGAGTGCGGGGTCTCACCTCGACTCCCAGCCTCAGCAGGTGACGCACGACTTCGATCTGGCCGCTGGCCGCCGCGGTGTGCAGCAGGGTGTAGCCCTTCTTGTCCTTACACATCACGTCAGCTCCCCGGGCCACCAGCAGCTTCAGAACTTCCAAATGCCCTGGCCAGGAGACAGCAGTAAGAGTCAGCGGTCCCCGGGAAGCGGAGATCTGGGCACAGCAGCCTCTGGGGAGCCCCACCGCTCTGCAAGGTGAACCCACAGGCAGCAAGCGACGTGGGACAAGAAACCAGACCGATGACCACGGGGCAAACCGATGCCCACGGGGAAAACCCACCTAGGAAAGCTGCCCAGTGGATGGGCTGGCGGTCCTTCTTGTCGCAGGTGCTCAGGCTGGCCCCTTTGTTCAACAGCAGGTTCACCATCTGGGTGGGGAGAAGCAAGGGGGTTAAGGCTGCGAAGGACCCGGGAAGGGGGACAGGCGAGGGGTCCCCCGCGCCCCAGCCCACGTCGCCTACCTCGAGGTGGCCGCTGTGCACAGCGTGGTGCAGCGCCGTGCGGCCCGTGCGGTCTGCGACGTTGACAGTGCTTAGCAGGGGGATGATGGCCTCCACGCACTTGGTGGCCCGGTTGGCAGCGGCGACGTGCAGAGGCGTTTGCCAGTACTTGTCGCGGGCATTGACATCTGCCGAGTGCTTCAGGAGGAGGTGAAGTGCCTTCTGGCAGGAGCAGAGGGAAGCAGAGCTCTCACCCAACCTGCCGGAGCCCGCGGAAGCCCTCCGGCCCGTGGGGGAAGCCGCAGCTCGGTCCACCTGGTGCGTTCAGCACACGCAGATCCACGACAGCCCCGAGAGCCGGCGCTGCCCGCGCGGGGCTGAGCGGAAACCGCTCCGCACGCTCACAATCATAGAATCATAGAATCATAGAATGGTCAGGGCTGGAAGGGACCTTCAAAGGTCATCTAGTCCAACCCCCCTGCAAGGAACAGGGATATCTCCAACTAGATCAGGTTGCTCAGGGCCTTGTCCAACCTGGCCTTGAACGTCTTC